AGCTCTTATATATAATAATAAATAACTTATAAAACCGTTTTTTGCTTTTAATTTCTTCCTTCCCCAAAAAAACCATCTGAATCATATATTTTCTGAAAGCTCTTAATGTAATCTGTCTTATCATGCTAAAATGATCTCAATAGAGCAGATTTCCAAAAAGAATTAAGCTTCCGAAGTCAAAAACCACAGGTTTCTTTGAGAGGCCATTACTCCATAACTGGTAGAGCTACAAATGCATAAAGCTCGCGTTATAAAGGTCAAAGGCAAGTGATTGTTTTTACTTAGAGGCATGAAAATTGTTTAATAATGGGTTTACGTTCAATTCATTTGCCAAAGTCCATTGTACAGAAAATGTGCCATGTCGATCATATATTAAAATCAGTCACTGTGAAATGTCGTCCGACTATTATATAGTTTGACTCATGTTAAAATAAACAGATCAACACTAATGAACATATAATCCACCTGATGTCATTGCAATATGATAGATATGATTATTATTATGATGTAAAGGTTATGCATAAAATATTTTATTTTATTTACTTATTAATTTGTCATTTTATTTTTTTGAACAATTGTTAAAATTTATTTTAAGCATTAATAAGTTTTGCATTATTTATTTATTTCTTATTTATTTTATAATGTATAAATTTTTAATTATTTATATTTAATCAATAATATTTATTTACATAAAAAATTTTTAATGAAACCAAAAAAATTTACCAATAACTAAATGGATTTTTCTTTAGTACAAAAAATATAAAAGCAACATACCAAGTATCCAAAATTAAACTGCTCAAAAAAAATTTGATATAAAATTTTATCATCCAAATAAAAAGGGTAATATTATATACAGAAAGGTTCTTTTATGAAATATACAGAACCTACGTGACAAATAAGGATTAATTCTTAGAGTTGGTAAACACTGTGTAATTCCTGCCACCCCCAGCCTACAAATTTAATCATCACGTCTGTGATAAATGTCACATTGGTTTTACAAAAATTTTGAGCTACAATTTAGTTTCCTTTTTTATAGAATGAATTGCTATTTTTGGTAGGGTTCTGTATATTCCATAAAAAGAACCTTTCTGTATATAATATTTTCCTTATTTTTAATACCAATATATATTAAATATATATTGTATTTATTATTAATAGGAATGAAAAAAATTCAATCGTGGGGAATGATTCATAAATACGGATGTTGTTTAACCAATAAAACAAAAGAAAAACTTGAAAAGAAAAAAATACTTCCATATATTAAATTAGAAAAATTATTATTAAAAGAAAAAGAAAAAAAAGAAAATGAATCGGATAAATTAATTGAATTATCAATAGAAACAAAATTAAAATTAACAGAACAAAGATTGTTTTGGATTGATAATTTTTTAGAAAGTCATATTATAGATTTTGAATTATTGAAACAATATACTAAAGAAAAATAATTATTTGATTTTTCATAATAAATTTTTAATTAAAAATAAATACAAAAGTAATATTATTTAAATTATAATAAAATAATTTTTTTGATCAATTATTATTTTAATTTCTTTACTTATTAACTTTTTTACTATACAGTGTAAAAAGATATAATCTTCGTCGTTCTTCTGTTTCTGATATTTCCAAAGATTCATCAATTTCTTGTTCAATTTTAGAATTATCCATGATAATTTTTAAGTTTTATTTTTTAATTAATTCATTTTTATTATATTTATATTATTAATTCAATAATTTTTTTTTTTAATTTCCAATTTCACAATTACACATAACAATACATTTCCAATTATACAATCAAAAAAATCTTTTCAATTCTAACAAATTTTCAAGACGTAGTCGCAGAAAATTACACATGATCTAGTTAAGCTTGAGAGGATGGAATACAACGTATAATCAACGTACAAACAACGTTTGTTACAACGATTATTACAACGTATGGATTCAACGTACAAGCAACGTACAAACAACGTTTGTTACAACGATTATTACAACGTATGGATTCAACGTACAAGCAACGCTTGTTACAACGAATACATTTATTAAAATTTAATATAATTTATTGAAACTAAATTTATATTTATTGAATAAATAAAACAAATAAAATATATAAATTATTTTATAAATTCAAAAATATAACTGTCATCAAAATTACTACAATTATCACATAAAATATGTTTATGTGGATTAAATATATATTCAGTAGAATCTAAATGTTCAATAATATTAATTTTATCCTCAATACAATTTTTGATATTACATTTAAATTGAAAATATTTATAATTATAATAATTTAATTTTTTACAGATATCACAAACTTTTTTATTAATATATTCCAACTCATTGCGATTAATTTTATATATGTATTCTACACACACCTGATTATTTAAAAAAGAATATGAAAAAATTATTATATATAACATTAAAAAAATTAATTGTAAAAAAATATCAATTTTTATTATTATAAAATCGAACACGATAAAAAAAAATTAAGTTTATTAAATTTGTTTTAATGTATTTTATTGAAATAAAACCAAAGTATTATTTATTTTTAGGTATGGTTTGTTTTAAATGTAATAAAAATAAATGTACTTGTTTACAAAATCCTCCAAATACATTACCTACAAGACCACCTCAACCACTCAAAAAAATACCAATTAATACAGCAAAAGAAATCAAATCACAAGAAATCAAATCACAAGAAATCAAAGAAGACAATAAAAAAAAAAAACCAAAAAAAAAATAAATTAATTATATTACTGATAATGTTGTTATTTGATAATCATAAGAAAAATATTTTATATATTATTTATTTTGTATTTTTTTTAAATAAAGTTTAAAAATTATATATTACAATTGTTATTTGAGAAGACAAAATGAGTACATTTCATGATTTTTATTAAAGAACAAATAAAAGAAATTCGTAAAAAATGGCATTTTACAATTGGAAGTTGTAAAGATATCAGAAAAACTTTATTTAAAAAAAAAAATTATTTAAAATTTAATAATGTTTAATTTTTAACTATAACGATATTATCTTCTTTGTTTACTCTTGATAAGTTTTCGTATTATTGAAAAAGATGATGAAAATCTTTTAAAAATAATTTTTGCAAATAAAAATATGGAAGTAATTCCAGTACCTAAAGAATTTAAATGTAGAAATAATCATTGTATTAAAGAACGTGATAAATATTTAACACCTCATAAATTAGATAATATATATTGTTATTTATTAGGTGGGGATATTAGTAGATATTCTTTAATTTTAACTGGGGCAGAT